CGGTTAAGATTAATCAATAAAAAAAATTAAATTTTAAAATTTGAATTTTAACGAGGCATAGTGAACAATGATGAAAGGGGCATTTTGGGAAGAAAAAATACAATTATCAAGGGTATTATAATAAATTGAATTCATTTGTAACCCCCAAACAATTAATGAGGAGTTACAAACAATCAAATCCCAAAAAATATGCATTCATATTATTATTATTTTTTTACTATTGATCTTCCATGTTCATTCTTGTATGAATTTCTAAATCGCAAAAGAAAAATGGTAGTAACAATTTTCGGTATTGATCAATTTGAACAAAAATGAACCGTGAACACAATTTAAACAAAAATGAACAACCGTGAACACAATTTGAACACAAATGAACTGTGAACACGATATGAACACAAATGAACAAGATATGTGCAATTTTTGGCCCATATATTCACATACATAGACGTTCCACAAAATTAAGGTAACATTTGTTAATTTGTGTTAATTTGTTAATTTGATCAAATTGTGTTCACGGTTCATTTGTGTTCAAATTGTGTTCACGGTTCATTTGTGTTCAAATTGATCAATACCAAAAATCGTTACTACTATGTTTATTATGCGATTTAGGAATTCATACAAGAATGAACATGAAAGATCAATAGTAATTTTTTTTAAATAATATGAATGCATATTTTTTGGGATTTGATTGTTTGTAACTCCCCATTAATTGTTTGGGGGTTACAAATGAATTCCCCTTGTAAGGGTAAAATGAACAAGAATAAACCTATAAGAATAATGAAATTTGATTGGTTGAGAGGGTTTTCAAAGTTAACACAAAAATGATGGTTAACATTTTATCTTCCCTCCCTCTCTCTCTCTCTCTCTATATATATATATATATATGTGTGTGTGTGTGTGTGTGTGTGTGTGTGTGTGTATAATAGAAGGGAAATTTTGTAACTTTTTTAAATAGACGACAAACAAGTGCATATGTGAACTCATAGTTCATATGTGAATCCGTTAATTAGTTCATATGTAAATCAATTATATATGTTTGGAAGCCCTCGGCCAAACGAGTATTTCATAGAGAACCGACAAGGACTTTCATTAATCACCGGTGGTTTTGATTCTTTTTTATAGTGCGATGGTTGGCTCACAACCTAGTTGTACATACGGTTTCTTTTTTAGGGTCAATGTCAACAATGCAGTTCATACAACGATAAATCTAATCCAAATTATAGAGCTACGACACAATCAAACCCAAGCAAACGAAATGCTGAAATGAAAATAATTCATACGTGAATCACACACAGGTTCATATGTGAATGCGTTAATTAGTTAATATGTGATTTAGTTAAATAGTTCATATTTGAATTACATGGGTCCATATATGAACACATAATTTATATGTGAATCACACGGGTTACATATGCTTTTGTTTTGGCGTTTATTTGTAAAAGTTAAGAAACTATCCATCTATCTTCTGCATTAATGGATGAATTATCTCTTGTTTCACAATTAAAACTATAAATCTTAAACAGATAAAATATTAATGATCAATTCTCCACGTTCTCAAATAAACATATGAATATTGACCATATAATATACAAATTTTATCTCAACCATGTGAAACGAATAAAATGCCGAGGGAATAAAGAGAGCAAAGTACTAATTTTATTGTTTACTATTTTTAGTATCTTTTTTTTATCTTTATAGAGAAAAAGTTACAAAACACCAAAAACGAGCGGAATGAAAGGATTATTTATATTTAATTAATTTTTACAAAATAGTTTGTTTTAGACGTGTATTTTCAAAAACAATTATTGTAATTTAAAAGTAAGATAATCTTTCATTTAATATATATATATATATATATATATATATAAAATCAAATGAGAACTAATTAGTTTGTGGTAACTGTGAGATCTAATCTCAACCACAAATCAATAAATAAATTACGAAATTTATAATTTTGGTAAATTTGAATTAAAATTTTAATGCAAGGACATTTTAGTTATTTTAAAACTCTCATCTCTCCTCTCTCCGTCCCCCGTCCTTTGGCCACCGTCCTCTGGTGATACCACAATGGTATCACAATGCATCATATATGTGCTTGGGTATCACACTGAGGTCGTTTGTGTGGTCGATCGGAGATGTAACACAGTGGTATCACAATGCTTCTTATATATGCTTGGGTATCACAATGTATATTTTGTTTAACAGAATCAATATTTTTAGGTATCACAGTGGTATCACCGGAGGACGAAAAGAGAAGAGGGAGAGAGGAGAGAAAATACCTAAAATGTCATTGCTTTAAAATTTTAATTCAAACCAAAATTATAAATTTCCTAATTTATAATTGATTTGTGGTTGAGATTGGATCTTACGGTTATCACAAACTAATCAGTTCTTCCTTGAATGAGCCCCTATATATATATATATATATATATATATATATA